TTCTCTTCCAGGTCCAATCTGTTCTTCATAAAATCTAGACTGAACTTTCTTAAGGAGACATCTTATTTGAACACATCCCTGTGATTATTTTCCTTTGACTCCCCACTGCCCACAGGGTACAGTCTAACCCCTTTAGCATGACCTAGACGAGAGAGTCTTTGTAATTTGACTCTCTAGCTTTCTCACGGACCATTTCCCTTACCATATCTTTATCCTAAAGCTATAGTTGTGCAGAACTACTTGTTCTTACTTTCTTGTGCCTTCATGACTATGCACACACTTTATACCCTCTGCTTGGAATGTCCTTCCTCCTTTATTTTTTTTCAAAATAAAAAAAAATAGTATTAGTATTCTGCTGAAATGTCACCTACTGTAAGAAGCCTTTTTCATTTCTTTCAAAGAAATTAAAATACTTTTGGAGGGGCTCCTATTGTACTTCCTGTGTACCCCTATCAGAAGGTTCTGCAAATATTTGTCTAAAAATTGCTTTCTTCCATGAGTTACCACCTACTCAGTATTCAGGACTCAGCCCAAATGTCATTTCTTCAAATCCTCACATTTAAGATTTGATCCTTTGCTATGCTCTTTCACAGACCAGAATCTTTCCTTCAGAGTCTTTATCTCAGTTTGTAATTACATGTTCATGAATGAGACGAGCTGACTACTACCCTTCTCCCTTCTAGACTGTAAGTATCAACAGGGCAGACATTGAGTTTGACGTTGAATCTTCAGTATCTAGCAGAGTATGCCTGGCACATATTAGGAGCTCAAGAAATACTCTTAAAATGAATGAATTAATAGTTGGAGAGCTCCTCCTGTGGGTTCCAAGGAGATCATCAAACCCCTTCTTCTGGAACTACCTTCTTCATCAGTGTTCTTTCGGCCGCAATTTTTTAATCTGTTCTTGATATGCCTGTGCCTCTTCTCCAAGAAGTGACTTGGGACCCAACCTCCTTCCATGTTATAGTTATTCCATATTCAACTTACTGAAGCTGTCAAGGTCACTGTGTCTCTCCATCAGGTCAGTGAAGGGGAAGAGCAAGGAGATCCAGACCTGAAAGTGACTTTCGCTCACATTCCACTGGCCAGAACTTGGTCACATGACCCATCTAATCCCAAGGGCGGTTGGGAAAGGGAGTGAATCTGTGAGATCAAGAAGAAAGGGAATCAAGTTTAATGAGCTGCTAGCCCATCTACTAGTTGTTAGCTGGACATGACCTCTGGTTGTTTCTACTGGGGATTGGATGAGGGTGCTTGGACCTCTATGTTCTGCACTGTGTTACCCAGGGGGACACATCTAGATGCACAGGAAGGTCCCCATATATGTTGGTGTTGGGCAGCTAAGGGGTGGAACTTCCAGGGACTTGCTAGGCTACATTATAATTTCCCTCTGTTTGGAAACTGTCCACCTAATCTTTAAGATTGGGTCCTTATTCACCTTGCTGATACTATATGACCTGGACACTCTGATCACAATTGGTAGCCACAGGGCTAGACATATGACCAGTCCAATCAGATCCTCTCATCTTAGAATTTGAAATTTGATCAGAGGCTCAATCTTGGAGATTGGCTGTGAGTCATCTCCATGGCAATCTCATAGATCAGACTCACAACCCCTTATGGAAAAAGGCCCTGGGTGGGGTGTGTGGGGGGTGGGAAACTGTAGCTCTGGTCTTCCCATGGCCTGTTACTTTTTTTTTCTTTGGCTGGGGGAATCTTTACTGGCAAATGATTTTATGTCTATGTTATTCAAACTGGTGGCTGTTTTTTCAACCAAAATCATTTTAATCAAGAAAGAAATTTGTTGCTTATCTGACCTTGGGCAAAACATTCTTAACAGTCACAAATTTCCCATTTATAAAATAAGCATAAGTTTTTCTGCCCTATTTAATCTCTTGGGACTATTAAATGGAATCAAGTATATGAAGTTCTACAAAAATTGTGAAAAACCATACAAATATAACTAGGGCTATTTGTCTATAGCAAGAAGAGTTTTAAAAGCTTTCTCCAAGTATGAAATAGAAGTCTTTCTTTCTTTCTTAACTTTAATTGCTTTGTGGTCAATTCCTCTTAAGCACAGGAAATCTCCATAGTTAGAGGTTTACTTTTTTCTTTTGTTAGATATTTAATACTTTGATTGTTTTTGACACTAAAATTACCCATTATGGTGTTGCCTTTGCCAAAGCAAACCCAAATTTTGTATTATTATTGCTGTTTGGGGCCATATTCAGCATCTCTGTTCAAGAGTCTGAAGCAAGCAATTATTCTCAACTCCATCATACCCGCTGCCCTCTTTTTATAACATATCTCACACCCCTTGCACTTTCCTGGAATGCAATTGCATGCGTTTCCTGGGGAAGCCACAATAAAGCACCATAGGCTGAGTGACCTCACAGCCAGGAGCTCACTGACTCGCAGCCCTGGAGACTAGAAGCTGAAGGCCGGGCTGTTGGCAGGACTGGTGTCTTCTGAAGGCTGTGCAGGAAGACCTGCTCTTTGCCTCACTTCTGGCTTGGAGCTGGCTCTGCTATCCCTGTGTCTCTGTGTTGTCTTCCTCTCTGTGTGTCTCTGTATCCAAATTTCCCCCTTACAGTAAGGACACCGTCATACTGAACTGGAGTCCGCCCTATAGATCAAACCAGTCAATCTTAAAGGAAATCAACCCTGAATATTCATTGGAAGGACTAATGCTAAAGCTGAAGCTCCAGTATGTTGGCCACCTGATGCCAAGAGCTTACTCACTGGAAAAGACAATGATACTGGGAAAGCTTAAAGGCATAGGGAGAGGGGGACTGAAGAGGATAAGGTGGTTAGATGGCATTGCCGACACAACGGACATGAGTTTGAGCAAACTCTTGGAGATGGTGAAGGATAGCCTGGTGGGTAAAAGTCCATGGGGTTGCAAAGAATTGGACACAACTTAGTGACTGAACAACAACAACAGCTGGGACCTAATTTTAACTTGGTTATTTCTGTCAAGGCCCTATTTCCAAATAAGATCATATTCTGAGGTGTGGAGGTTAGGACTCTCACATTTACATGTGCATGGAGGGATGGAGGCACAATTCTACCCATAACAGAAATTAATCATCTATGCTTGCCCCTGCCTCCCATCTCTATGCTTGCCCCTGCCTCCCATCAGCTCGTCCCTCAGTTGCGCATGCGCAGAGCTGTGTTCACATTATGGATGTTTTCATCCACATCCAACCTTCTCACAGGGAGCTCTGCATTCCTGCCAGAAGATGGGATTGGAGATATGCTTAAATGCCACTACTGACATCAACAAGAAGAATCAAATCAAATTAAAAAGCTTCTGAGTAGGAGTCCAGAGCATCAGTAAACCATCTTTGTACTGGAGCTGGGAAGAAAACTTTGATGCAGGGAACAAATGGAGAAAATGTGGCCCCTGCTCACCCTCTGTGAATCTGAAGACAGAGTAAACACTTCAAGGCAGTCTTTCTAGCCAGGGAAACAGGCTAAACAGTTGTCTGGAGCCAAAGACTGCCAGGAGTAATAAGAAAACCCTTTAAGTGAGTTTTCTCCATCTGTTTAGTTTCTTATGGTGAAAAAAAAGGAGGAAAAATGTAAATAAATGATTCAGAGAAATGTCACATGCCATTACCTCGTCCATGGAAAAATAAACAAGGCTTCACTTCATTAGGCAGGTTCTAATGTGACCAGTATGTTCTGGTGATGGCCTCCCTGGGCTGGAGCTCTTCAAGCTTATGAACTTCCAAGTTGGCTTGCCTGAATTCAACTTCAGCTGAAACTTGGCACCAGCCTCCAGGCAGGACCATCTGTAGAGATATCAATCCCTCTGGGCATCTCCCTATCAATCCTGTTATCCAAAAATGAAACCAGGTTAAAGGCAGCATCTGGATAGCCTGGAAAATGAGAAGTTGAGATGTGTGGTATGCAGATGTAGGAAGGTATACAGGCATAGGAAGGTGGTACGTAGGTGTAGGAAGGTGGGGCTTCTCTATGGCTATCCATACCAGCTATCCATCTTTTTAACACCAAATACACTAACCAGCTTCCAGTCCCCCAACAGCTTCCTTTGGATGGTTCAGAGCAAATTACAGAGTGGACCCAGTTGACAAATCTTGATACATCATGCCTTTGACATTGATTCTGCCCAACATCGGAGCAAAAGAAGTCAATTTGGACCTTTAACTTTAAAATTCAGTTCCTCAAGGTGGCAAGAGTGTGTTCTCATTGTGCTCAGTCACATTTGACTCTTTGTGACCCGGGGACTGTAGCATGCCAGGTTCCTCTGTCCATGGGATTTTTCAAGCAAGAATACTGGAGTGGTTTGCCATTTCCTTCTCCAGGGGATCTTCCTACCCCAGGAATCGAAATGGAGTCTCCTGCATCTCCTTTATTGGCAGACGGATTCTTTACCCTTGAGCCACCTGGGAAGCCCTGGTTCTTGTTAGTCTCCAGCTAACCTTCTAAACTTCGAGCAGTGCCAGAGAAGATTGTCACTGAACAATCCCTATAAAAACAGTGTCCTTTAAAAATTCTTTCTGCAGAGCGCTGAGTTCAGGGTCTTATGTGCCAAGCTCTTCAGCAACCAGGATCTGGAGATGGTGAGCGTTGAGTGGCAACTGCTTCCTATGCTGACACCTCTGTCCCCACCTCCAGCCCACACACCACCAGCTTTTCAGAAAAAAGTCAAGGCCACATTCCACCAGAAACCTCAACTTTTCTCTTCCTTATATCATAGCTTTTCTAGAGTTTTTCTCCCCTTTTCCTTCTCATTCGCTTTTACTGTAGATTGGTGCAAAAGTAGTTGCGGTTTTGCATTGTTGAAACTTGCTGTTTGATAGTGGAATATATTCTTAAATAAATGTGGTTATGTTATGTATCACTTTAATGCACATTTCTTGGTTTATTATCTTTTGTTAATGGTCTGTTTCTTGCTGTTTCTTTTATATTTATTTAAACTATAGAAATGATGTCAGACAAAAAGCAAATTTGAGAGATTTTTTTAATTCGAGTTCAAAACAGGTAAAGCAGCAGAGACAACTCACAACAGCAACAACGCATTTGGCCCAGGAACTGCTAACAAATGCACAATGCAGTGGTGGTTCAAGAAGTTTTGTAGAAAGAGACGAGAGCCTTGAAGATGAGGAGCACAGTGGCCAGCCGTCAGAAGTTGATAATGACCAGTTGAGAGGATCATCAAAGCTGATGTTCTTACAACTAACTACATGAGAAGTTTCCAAAGAACTCAGTGTCAACAATTCTGTGGTCATTCAGCATTTGAAGCAAAATGGAAATGTGAAAAGGCTAGATAAGGGGGTGTCTTATGTACTGACCACAAGTCAAAAAAACCATTGCTTCGAAGTCGTCTTCTCTTATTCCATGCAACAACAACAAACCATTTCTTGAATGGATTGTGATATGCACTGAAAAGTGGATTTTATACAACAACTGGCAATGACCTGCTGAGTACCTAGACCAAGAAGAAGCTCCAAAGCACTTCCGAAAGCCAAAGTTGCACCAAAAAAGGTCATGGTCACTGTTTGGCGGTCTGCTCCCGTCTGATCCACTACAGCTTCCTGAATACCAGTAAAACCATTACATCTGAGAAGTGTGCTCAGCAAACTGATGAGATGCACTGAAAACTGCAAGGCCTGCAGCTGGCATTGGTCAACAGAATGGACCCAATCCTTCCCCATGACAATGCCCAACTGTACATCGCACCAACACTTCAAAAGCTGAATGAATTGGGCTACGAAGTTTTGCCTCATCTGCACCATAGTCACCTGACTTCTCACCAACTTATTGCTACTTCTTCAAGTGTTTATTATTTGCCAGGCATTTTGCTGCATGCTTTATATGCATTATCTCACCCTTCTCATAAATCTATGAAGCCCCCTCTATTATTAGTCCTTTTTCAAAATGGGGAAACTGAGGCTTAGCTGATCAAATAAATCAAGGTCAGTATAATTGACAAGGGCTTCCCAAGTGGCACTAATAGTAAAGAACTTGCCTGCCAGTGCAGGAGACATAACAGACAGGGATTAGATTCCTGAGTCAGGAAGATCCTCTGGAGGAGGGCATGGCAACCCACTCCAGCATTCTTGCCTGGAGAATCCCCAAGGACAGTGGAGCCTGGTGGGCTACAGTCCTGGAGTTGCACAGAGTTGGACATGACTATCAACTTAGCACACACATAGTTGATAGACGGAGGAGCCAGTATTTACACTCAAGTCTGCTGATCCCACAGCCTGAGCTTTAAAGTGGTGACTCTTGGCTTACAACTGTGGTTACTTCTTAACTGGTCTCAAAAACATACAGATTTTCCTCTGCTTTCTCTAGGCCTTCTTCACTATTCCAGAGTTATCTCCCTAATGCGTAAATGGGACTGTACCTCCCCCAATCTTCATTACCTGCAGCATCAAGTCCAAACACCTTAGCTTGACATTCAAAGTCCCAGTGCCATCAGGAAGATTACAGCTCTCCTCCTTGAGGAGACCTCTTCTTAGCTCCATCTACGGAAATCTTTCTCCTCCAATGTCTGGTGCAAATGTGTTATGTTCCATGGGACATTTTCTGACCACACTAACTAGAAAGGTTGTTCTCTTTGTCTAAACTCCACTGTGCTTAATTTGGGCCACTCTCGTGATGTTTGTGCTCTGGGTTGATTCATAATATGATTATCTGTGTTCATGTTTAGCTATAGCCTTGAAGTCAAGAGTGTCCATTTGTTTACTTATTTTTCAGTTATTTCTTTATTTTTGGCTGTGCTGGGTCTTTGCTGCTGCACGCACTGGCTTCCTCCAGTTGTGGCGAGTGGGAGCTGTTCTTTTGTTGCTGTGTGCGGTTTCTCACCGAGGTGGCTTCTCCTGTTGAAGAGCACAAGCTCTAGAGAGGGAGCTCAACAGGTGTGGTGCACAGACTTAATTCCCCACAACAGGTATGCAGATGACACCACCCTCACTGCAGAAAGAGAAGAGCTGAAGAGCCTCTTGATGAAAGTGAGAGGAGAGTGAAAAAGCTGGCTTAAAAATCAACATCCAGAAAACTAAGATCATGGCATCTGGTCCCATCACTTCATGGCAAATAGATGTGGAAACAATGGAAACAGTGAGAGACTTTATTTTGGGGGGCTCCAAAATCACTGCAGATGCTGACTGTACCCATGAAATTAAAAGATGCTTGCTCCTTGGAAGAAAAGCTATGACCAACTTAGACAGCATATTAAAAAGCAGAGACATTACTTTGCCAACCAAGCCATCTAGTCAAAGCTATGGTTTTTCCAGTAGTCATGTATGGATGTGAGAGTTGAACCATGAGAAAGCTGAGAAATTGATGCTTTTGAACTGTGGTGTTGGAGAAGACTCTTGAGAGTCCCTTGGACTGCAAGGAGATTCAACCAGTCCATCCTAAAGGAAATCAGTCCTGAATATTCATTGGAAGGACTGATGCTGAAGCTGAAACACCAACATTTTGGCCACCTGATGCGAAGAGCTGACTCATTGGAAAAGACCCTGATGCTGGGAAAGATTGAAGGCAGGAGGAGAAGGGGATGACAGAGGATGAGATGATTGTATGGCATCACCAACTCAATGGATGTGAGCTTGAGTAAACTCTGGGAATTGGTGATTGACAAGGAGGCCTGGCATGCTGCAGGCCATGAGGTCGCAAAGAGTCGGACATGACTGAGCCACTGAACTGAAATGAATGTGGGATTCCTTCCCTGTATTGACAGGTGGATTCTTAACCACTGGACCACCAGGGAAGTCCTCCCTTCATTTTTGCAGCCCTTACAACACCTATCAGAATGTCTCACACAAAGGAAGTGTATTAATTGAGTGAACACTGACTGCTGTAACAGACACCCCCGAATATTAGTCACTTGACACAATGAAAGTTTGTTTCTCATTCATGTGAAGTTCGATTGGTGATGGAGTAAACCCTGCATTCAATCATTTGAGTTCAGAGTGATATGAAAAATAAAAATTGGATGATAATTACTTAGTTAAGTGGGTTTGTGGTTTCTATCATCTTGCTTCAACAAACCAACACCCAATAAAGTGGATAAGTGGGCTTTAAAAGAACCTGTAGAGAAATTACTTACACAGAATACTAATAAAAACAGTGGTAAACCATTAGAAAAATGTCAGGGCTGACACTTCCTCAGATGCCAAGGGCTTCCTTGGTTACATTATGAGGCAAAACAATGATAATCTATTTACTTCTGGCAACAAGTCACATACACACATAAAAAAATTGACATGATCAAAAAAACTGCTTGAAATATGGACTTCTATCTTCTCCCATTAACAATGGAATCCAAGTAAATGCATATTGCCACTTGTGTTATCACTAAAGCTGGTATGAGGCCAACACTATTTGCAAACATTTAAAAACATATTGAGGTTGCAAAATGTCAGACACGATGCAGCGACTAAACAACAGCAACAAAATATTATCCAGAATATGAAGGTAAATTTCTAGCATTTAAACATTCAGGGCTATTCACCATTCCATCCAGTGCTTTACAAAAATCACAATAAATTTGACAATAAGTATTTGGAAGCCCTTTAAGAGCTTAAATTTTTTATTTAATAGTAAGTTTCTTATTTAAGAGTAAATGGGGGGAAAGGTACATGCTATGAAGGAAACACTTATTCCTATTGTGGTGACAACAGCTCAAAAATAATACAGGGAACACAAATGGGTGACCAAACGAACATGCATTCCTTTGTCAGCAAATACTGCTGGAAGAAGCCTGGGAAACATCACTAAAGCTGTGAAGAAACAAGTTCTAGGAGAAATGAGACTGCATGGGTGGTTTACTACAGAGTTGGATTGAAGTACAGATGTTCCTGACATGTCTCAGCCTATGGAATTTATTCATTCTACTCGGTCATGGAATATATCCAGGACTACTTTCTTTGTAAACCTCTAAAAGAAAGATGGACTGGAGAAGATATTTTTAATGCTAAATGACTTCTGTAACAGGAATAATGTTGTTTGAGAAAATGGTATACTGTAACCCTTGCTGTGGCAGTCAATTTGACCAAAATAAAAAAGCAAGCCCAGGGTAGCCTTAAAGGGATGTATCCAAGGGTGAATTTTTAAAAAATATTTTATTAAAAATTTTTATTTATTTTGGTTGTGTTGGGTGTTTACTGCTGGGGGCAGGCTTTCTCTGGTTTCGGCAAGAGTGGGCTACTCTCTAGTTGCAGGGTGAGGGCTTTTCATTGCAGTGGCTTCTCTTGTTGTAGAGCATAGGCTCTGGGCACTTGGGCTTTAGTAGTTACAGCCTGTGTGCTTATGGGCTTAATTGCCCCGTGGCATGTAGGAGCTTCCTGGACCAAGGCTGGAACCCACGTCCCCTGCCCTGGCAGGTGGATTCTTAACCACTGGACCATCACCCAAGGGTGACTTTGATTTACTGCTCCCTTCACAGGAACTTTTCATTAGGAAGAAGTCGTTGCTGGAGGGCACACAGCTTTAGAAGATGACATTGATGAGGCTAACTTCCAAAACAAAATACAGTAATAAAACAAGCACAAAAAATTTTAAGTTATTCAAGACTTTCTTGAGTATTTTGTGATAGAAGTGGAAGTAATTGTGAACATGTTTTGGATCATACAGAGATTTACAGGTTATCTTTTGTAAAACACCTTAATGGATTTTCCAATTTAGAGTCAGGGCATTCCTTGCTTTTACCATAAGATTAGTGTTGCAAATTCACAGTTTCTGAGGCATGTGTTGGACGGTGGTTTTCTAGCTAGCAAATATTTTTTTGAAGTAAAAAATAAACATAATCTGTAAAGGTAAAGTTGATTGTCTTAATTTTGAGCAAGAACAATTACTGATCTGATTCTCAAGAGGAAACCATGCTATGAAGAAAGCATTTTGAAAATAGATATTTGGAAATGTTTCATGGCTATATAGTACTATTGTTGAAAATGATGATTTAGCTATAAAAATTCATATCTGCATGTTAAAAAAATGAAAAAAAATTTTAACCTGTTCAAAAATACTTCAGAGGAAGTATTTCAGTGATTTTTTTAGCCTGTTTGTTAAAAATGTTAAAAAGTCGATGTCTTCTGATTAGATTGCAAGAAAATTCTGTTAAATGAGGAGAAAACAAACTCAGTGCAATTTTAAGAAAAACTTGATCATGGTTTGTATAAAGGATTGAATAATGAGCATCCGGGCCCAGTAAGTACAAATAGACGCTCAGATCTTCT